AAAAAAAACCAACGCACAGCATAGTATCAACTTTTTTCGGCTATTCCGCAAATGCTGTTAGAGAAGAAGTTGAGCAGCTTTCTCGTCAGCTAACAAGACGTATGCTAGGGAGGTGAAGCCAGTGTTCGACAAGGCCCAAAAAAGTATGCAATATTTCCTTCCCGTATTGCGAAAGCATATGCGATCTGGCTCTTCTTGCTATAACATATCCGAACTGGCTCTTCTTGCTATATCCTAAAAGATGGTATGAAGAAACTGGTCACCTACCTGCTGACTTTCCTGGTGCTACCAGAGGGCCAGGAAAAAAATCACAAAAGCGCTTAGAAAAAGAAGAAAGTTTCAAATCCATTTTCGACTCAGAACGCTTTTGCACGCAATTCTACTTCTACTCCGATGACCTTTTAGAGGAAGAAGAAGATTTTTCAGGCAGCGAACTTGTTGTCTCTGACGTTAGCGATAGTAATATTGTTGATGATGATGATGTGCAGGAATTGAAGTTGTTCCTAACTTGTACATCTTTTGGGATAAACCTTATTGCTTTCGTTTTTTGTTGATGCAATGAAACAGGAGCACAGATCTTCATAAAGTCAATTCTTTTTGATTTTAATTTCTTTCAAAATTTTTTAATTTTTTTCAATTTGTGCCTAAATAAGGTGCAAATTAGAGCTTTTCATACCACGCTTATTTACCTTTTCTCTCTTCCTCCCCCCCCCTAGACTCACATACCCCCTTCACCCTGGAAGGTCGGGAACAGCCGAGACCCCCTTCACCTGGGGAGAGCCCGGCTCCCCCTATCGCACCTATGTTTCGAAGCGAGATTGCTTCGGAAATCGCTCGGATGACAGATTCGCCACGTTGGCTCCTCCCCTTTGAGTGGGCGTGACGTTCGTCCCGCCTACCCATGAGCGCCCAACCAATCGTCGTTCCGAGAAACTCGCTCTGTGGGTTCAGAAAGGGGGTTTTGCGTGGTTTTCGCGGATTTCCGACTTGATCCCTGGAACGGCAGAAACCAGGAGGTCGAAATTTTCGGTGGACAGTGCCTTTGAAGGCAGTGCCCGGACAAGGTAGGGGGTTTGGGATTTCACTGCCATGCGAAAGTGACCCCCATCAAACACAGCACTGCGCAAGTAGGAGGTTATATCGCGACTCTGCGTCTCAGCCTTGGCGGGGACCGTCGATTTCAAATTGTAAGGCTTTGGAAAGCGCATGTTCTCGCCGTTTTCACTGTGGATTTTCGGATTCAGCGCTGTGGATAACCCCTGGTAAGTGAATTTTCTAAAAATCGATTTTGCCCGGACACTGCCTTTAAAAGCAGTGTCCGGGCAAAATGTAGCAATATTTTTTTTTATTCAGTAGCCCCTGATTTTGCATTTGGCCGCCTGCCGCTGAATTTGAAACACAGAGTCGTGGTGGGATCCTACGTCTTGACTGTGTGCGATATACCCACTCTAGCAGGGTAGGGGAACGAAGGCCGCTAATTTCAGCCGCCTTTCGCGTTGAACTGGTCCTTTTGCAGTGTTGTTGCATGTCGTTCCACGAACACTAATCCGCGGAAGCGACCTAAATTGGCGGTTTTCGTTCCCCCATCCCTTTAGCATATTGATTTGTCCCTCGGTGGGCGGGTCCTCCGATCGTGGCGTAACTCTCCCAACTTCCTGAGCATTTTTCTCGCTTCCAATTCCGCAAGATGTGCCCACGATTGGGTTGATGGATACGTCAGGGCCGCTACTTTTGCCTGACAGTGAATTCCCAAAACCACAACCTACTCCGGACACTGCTTTTGAAATGATACAAGTGCGCTAGGCAAAGATTGCGACCTTTTCGACTTCACGCTTATACATAGGAGAGTGAAACTCTTATATACTAGCGGACTAGTGATCGCTTAGTCATGTGTGATTCGATCCGGTAGCCAAATCAACATTCAAATGACGATCTTGCGAGCATTACAACCGCACTTTAAAATAGTATCTTAGCCCGCTTTTGCACTGCTGCACAGATACAGGGTCGTCTGCAACTGCAGACGACCCTGTATCTGTGCAGCAGTGCAAAAGCGGGCTAAGATACTATTTTAAAAATTCTCTGTTCGCACGCGCTACTTATGGGACTCACTTCTCCCTTTCAAATAGAAGCTCTAACAAAAGTAGGGAAGATTGGGCGATGGATATGAAAGACGAAGCGGTAAGTTACATTGCTCCAATTTTTCTCAAGTACTATCATTGTAATGCTTTTCATAATGTTATTAATTTCTTATTCATAGCTTACTGATGCGGCTCAAAAAACGGTGCTTGGAAACACGGAAACGCGACGCCGCTGCAGCGCACAGGCTCTAAAAACTCGTTAGTGTTATATTTATCGCACCCATACTCAAAGAGCTATTCAGTTTGCATTCGGAGATATGACCGCACTGGTACCGAACGGCAGCGCACCGCCCCTGTCGTTAATAATAGGTAGTAACAACCTTCATTCTATAATATCTACATATGTATTATTCCTTCTGTCATGGACATGTTGCAGATTCTTCATGCACCTGTTTAGTAGCTGGGTCACCCCCATGGCCAGAGGTGCGATAGGTGGAGCCCGGCCCCCCAAAAGTGAAGTTGGTCCAGTTACCACTGGCCGGCCAAAAGTGAAGGTGGTAGTGCCGGACACTCACCTCCCAAAAGACACTCGACCGGGGGGGGGGGGGGAGGAGAGGGGAGGGGGGACTTCGGATAACTGAAGAACTCTCACCTAACGGAGTGGCTTTCTTTAGGGCCACAAATACGATGAGTACAGCGCATAAAAATAAAAAAAAATAAACGTGTTAGTCAAAAGGTCTATTTGTAAGTAAAACCAGCTTGACTTCACGTATTTTATTGAGTAAATCTTGTTGTAACGTACTGCGAACAAAGTAGGTTGATCAACGCAGTAACCACCGAGAACCAGAATTTCGAATAATAAAATAACGTAAAATCATGCAAAATTTCCACTGTTATAAATCTGGCGGTTGAAGATGTCAGCAAATGCGACTTCATAGGTTTTGAAGTGCAAGTGTTGCTCTACCAGATAGTGAAAGAATTAGGTCGATTTGAGCAGTGGCCGCCGAGAACGAGAATTTTGAAACATTAAGCGATTTTATACTTAGTGACAGCTGACGTTTAGACTCCTATAAATCTGGAATGTGAACGTGTGCAATGTTGCGACTTCATATTGTAGAGTAAGGATAGCTCTATCGGACTATGCTTTAGCCGTACCAATCCATTGAGATACCGCCGAGATTCAGGCTCTCAAAAAACAGGTAAAAAACCGCTTTTGAATTTCAGCAGCTCATAACTTCTTCAGAATTGCATAAATCGTATTGCGACTTCATAGGTTGGATTCTACTCTTCAAGTGCTTTCAGATGATATATGATTTGTGGGGGGGGGGGCAATGATTTTTGCGGCTCTAACCCAGGGTGGAGACTTTTCAGCCCAAAGTCTCCATCTCGCCCATGTTAATGTATTGGCTGGAGACCGCCAGTGGAGAATTTGGGGTGAAAAGTCTCCACCCCCGGGCATATGCCGTGGGAGGCGCGAAATCCCCACATATTATATATCATCTGAAAACTCTTGAAGAGGAGAATCCAACCTATGAAGTCGTAACATGATTCAATTCTGTAGAAGTTACGAGCTGTTGAATTTCAAAAAGCGGTTTATTAACTGTTTTTTTAAGAGGCTAAATCTCGGCGGTATCTTGATGGATTGGTACGGCTAAGACATAGTTCCATAGAGAAATTCTTACTCTACAAAACCTGTGAAGTCGCAACATTGCACATCTTCACGTTCTAGATTTATAGAAGTCTAAACGTCAGCTGTCACTAAGTTACTTAAAATCGCTTAATTTTTTGAAATTCTCGTTCTTGGCAGATACTGCTCAAATCGACCTAATTCTTTCACTTTCTGGTAGAACAACACTTGCCCTTCAAAACCTATGAAGTCGCAGTTACTGACATCTTCAACCGCCAGATTTATGACAGTGGAAATTTTGCGTGATTTTACGTTACTTTATTATTCGAAATTCTGGTTCTCGGTGGTTACTGCCTAGATCGACCTACTACATATATATATGCTCTCAATACTTTCTTTTGCGTTCCTTTCGCTTCTTTTTCTTCTTTAAAGCTTCAGCAAAATTTTTTTCATACCCAAAGGTGAAGGTGGTCGCCCGTACCAGCTCAAAAATGAAGGTAGGCGGAGACTCGGCTCCGACTATCGCAGCTCTGCTCATGGCCCTTGATAATTCGCTCAGCGACGCCTACTTTCAAGTAAGCGAAACTCATATTGTATTGATAGCATTGCTTGCCAGAAGCTGGCATGGCTATAGATGCCCAACTTGGCTATATCAAAGAGCTGGATAGCAAGTTTTGGAGTCGCCACTATCGCCGATGTGCCCAGTTGCCGCTCGCCTATATTTTCGTATAAATCGTTGCCACCCAATTGGTTCTACCAAACCGTCAATGTGCTAATTGTGCGACATTTCAAAGGAATGCCGGCTTGCAGCTTGATGACCTCAAGGGCACCGTTTACCCAAAGTGGGGACGAGATTACGACAGCTCATTAGTGTGGAACCCCATACTGGGCAAACCCCCAAGTGGCGCAGCAAAATTGCTTCAGGAGCGAAAAATGCTCCGGAGAGCAAACTTGGAGGGTCATTCCACCAGCTGCCTCTATGGCATTCGACAAGCCGAGTGCCACAGAGGCAGCGGGAGTATGTTTGGTGTCCTATTGACGAAGCGAAGTGGCTGAATAATATAAATACTAATTGATTTTACAAAGCCTGTACGACTGAGCCTCAAGTAAAGGGTGCAAATGATGTCATGTAGTAGGCGAATCATCCTGACCAATGGCTTATCGACATCGCCTGTACCAAGACAGGAACTGGTCGGCTATATCTTCCAGCTGCTATCCTAGTGAGCTACGAAGCGCAAAGTTGGAGAAGGTCCGTGGCTGCAAGCATTTTGGAGTCCAAACTTGATTTTATCTTATCACGCTTCGAAATCTACGTGGTTTTCAGGAGTGTCATTGACTTCGAACCTTAAAATCTCATTTTGTGATGTTGAGTGCAGGTCTAAGCGCTGCCGAGCGTCTTACGACATACACCCACCAGATGGGCATAAGGCATAAAGCTATAAGCAGGGTCAAGCGTGGGGTGCGGCACGCCACACCTGGTGGTCTTGGAGGGGTCAGCAAGAGAGAGAGACCGGGGGGGGGGGGAGGGAACCGTTATAAAAGTGATAGTGATGTTAGCGACATGGTTTCAATCAACAAGGTCTGATACGCCCATTGTACAAGATACCGCACTGATGTTTTGCCTACCGTCATACACGCACAGTAAGCATATTAAAAGAATCCTAAAAGTATAAGAACATCAGTAAATAGCATGTACGACTCTCGATAAATCTCGACATGGTTTATAAGTTGAGATTGATGTCTTGTAGCCAACGCCGAGATTGTTACAAACTTTATTGGCCAACGTTTCGGCTTCTCGCCTTCGTCAGGGCCTGAATGGGGTATCGATTCGTAACCCAAACGGGCAAATGTCTTTACGGCCTTACGAAAAAGGTCTAAGCCGAAAAGAAGCCGGAAAACGATTGGTTACCGTTTCTAAACGTGCAAGTGAACATCACTACGGGTATGCACGTGACGAAGTGGTACCGTAAACCGAGCAATAAAAATATCCTGATTCATTTTCAATCCGCTCACCCACCTGGACAAAAAGAGCTGTTATCAAGAATATGTTCCGAACACTTCGCAGTGTGTAATGGAGAGAAAGAAAGGAAAGAATCACTCGAGCTTGCGCGTCAAATAGCTTCTTCGAATGGGTACGGGAACTTCACAGGTACAACGAAGCACGGAAAGAGTTTGCGAGACCGGCCCAACGAAAAAATCCCTTTTTACGTCCCGTTCATCTCCACCAAGATAAGTACAGCAATGCGCAGAAGCTTTAAGAAAATAGAACTAGTTGATTTGGTGTCGATAGTAGAAGTGCCACCGAACAATCTGAAGCGTATTTTAGTAAGAAATCGCATGTATGATAGCAGCTGTACTACGGACAATTGTATCATATATCCAGGAGGTAAAAGCGGAGATTGCATGTCAACTGGGGTGGTCTACTCCATTTCCTGTACCGTCTGCGGAGACGAGTGTATAGGTGAAACCGCACGTCCCCTATGTATTCGTATAAAAGAACACCTAGATGGCAGGGACAAACAGCGAACTTCTACTCCGTTAGGAACACACAGAGTACTAAGGCATGAAGGGTCGAGTTTGAAGTGACCGTATAGATATTAGCACGTGAACCTAAGACGGCTGCTCGCAAGTTTCTAGAAGCATTGTGGATTCATGCTAGGAACCCACAAATTAACCGTAAAGAAGAATGCCTCGCAATCACGAGAGAACTATCTCCTTATCTGAGCCAACTATGCTGACCTCCATATACGGTCAGCCCAGCAGTCGTTCTACCAAGGGTGTTGTTTGTGTGGTGAGTAACTGTTGCAAAGCTACTGGCCAAAATTAAGGCTTAGACCTTTTTCGTAAGGCCGTAAAGACATTTGCCCTTCTGGGTTACGAATCGATACCCCATTCAGGCCCTGACGAAGGCGAGAAGCCGAAACGTTGGCCAATAAAGTTTGTAACAATCTCGGCGTTGGCTACAAGACATCAATCCCAACTTATAAGAACATCATTTTTGTAATTAGCATGTCAAATAACCCCTGTGGGCCAAGTTTAAGCGAATTTTGAGGTTTCCAAATATTGGGACACTCAGGTGAGGTGGTCATTTTCGAACATGTAAGTCTGTTTCAAAGGTAAGTAAACTACATTTTTTGCGCTTACTACAAAATTCTACTACTTCTTTGCTGAAATTAGGAATCCTACTTCAACTAAACTCCAAATTCTGGAATTGAGAGCAAGCCAAAGTCTCGCTTTTCCCAATTTTCTCTTTCAATTTCTCAGACTAGAAAAGACCAATCAGGCTCGAATTACTTTTGCGAAAGTTACGAGGATCAGGCGATTGAATATCCTTGTCCTTGCCGCCTTCACTCGTGATTCACGTAGTAGCGAAGACTTAGTATATTACCGTAATTCAATATTTTCGCAGTGTTTTCCATTTGCTTAGCTAAAGAAAAACGACTATATCTTTTCCTAGAAACAATTTTGCATGGAATTCCTGCTATGTGGAGAAGAAGGTTCAGCAGTAGCAACCATACAAAAATGACAGAGATTTGAATGCTTTAAAAGTAAGTTAATGGAATGTGGCACAACCCTCAAAAAGGTGTGGCGGACACAGCTTTTTAGGGGTTGTGTCACACCCCATTAACTTGCCTCCGAAAAGAATTTTAGCGAACAAAATACATATAGTATGTTAGCCAGAGCCTTGTAGTTTTCGTAGGAGTAATTTAGGCCTGATTCATCTTCTTCGCTCTGAGTAAAAGCTGGTGAAAACGCAGCCATTGGAAGCGAAAAATCTGACAAACGAGATTTTGGCCTGCTTCTGATTCCATAGCTTGATGGTTGTTGAAGTAGGATTTATGGTATGGGTAAACAGGGAGTAGTGTTTTGTATTAAGTAAAAAAAGAGTTAGCTATTTCATTTTGAAATATAGTTCATTATGTTTGAAATGATCGCTTCACTTGGGTGGTTTAATACTGGGAATTCTCAGAGTCTGCTAAATCTTGGCCCATGGTGGTTATTTGACATGATAATTACGAATATGTGCCTAATTATGCATGGTTGAGCCTTTATGTCATGTCTACGGAAGGCAAACAATAATGCTGGTGGGCGCGGGGGGGGGGGCAGTATAGGGGCAGAGGATGGGAGGGGGGGGGGTCGTATCCGACGCTTGTGTACCATACCTCTTGCTCGACATTGGTCATAAGCTGTAGTATAACCAAAGACCAAAGCGTTTAGGGTACCTCAACCATACCTCAACCACCGCGGCGTATTTCACACGAATAACGTTCTTGCTTCCAGCGTATAAGAATTGTGGCGTTCAGCAGGGCCCCGAGCTCGCCAGAGTGGTTCTACCGTGACCTAAAGGGCCGCGGCTTGCCCGATAACCAAATATGCAGAGCGTCTTGTAAGGCCCGGAGCCCGCCCGAGTGTAATAATGGGTCCTTTGGTGTTTAGCGAGAATTGTGGAAACAAACCCCGAATGTGGATTTATTTACAAACCTAATTAATGCATGTTCAGGAGGAACACGGTAGATGCGTCCATCACCTTGTAAAAATACCGCAACATTATGTACATCCATAATGAATACCTTAATGCATTCTTTTGAATGATTGCAATAGGCGATGTTTTTTACCATTGTTGGGTTGAGAATACATTTGTCAAGTGTACCCGGTGGAGAAATTATTGTCGAGTTAGTGAATATCAATGTTGGAAGATGTTTGAGGAGAGTAGTAGTACCCTGTAACACTTTTAATTGATAGATATGGTCCCTAGCAAAATTATATTACTAATTGACACGCAATGACTTTCTCTTGGTATTTTGAAGCGATTTTTTTGCGAGTTAGTACTACTTCTACATATCGAGAGGTCTGATGATGCCATTAAAGGTGTGCGGCAAGTTGCGGCAAAAAAGAATTATGATGACGTTAATATCAAATAGAAGCCGGCCTCGTATCGCTGTGGAACAGCACTCGTCCGTAGGATTCGTCGCGGCTGAAAACACATTGCAGCATGGTTTACCATGACTTGCCTGGAAAAACTGACACAATCAAGTATCCGGTAATGATATATTCAACAGGATATTTTTGACAAGTTGAGCGAAATCAAATTTCTTTCGTGAAATGTGATTTTACAATACAAAACATGAGAAGAGGTGAAAGCGGACGAACATCAAGAGATAGTAGATTCTTACCCAACATATTCGCGTAGCGTGATACCGCTAATCATTGGAGTTATACGTTCATCGAGATCTGAGAAAATAGCATATTCAGAGTGGTAACGACTGCGTTGCAGGCAGTCCTGTAACAACTTTAAAATTCGTAGTGCGTATATAAGTGAGCATTAGTGGAACATTTATAATTTTTTCGACCACTAACACTTAATTTCCACAAACAGCAATATCAAGCACGCTGTATTCAAAATAAGATTTGTCGGTAGATGGTATAATCGGAAATGGACCATTAAAAGTTTGGATTATTTGCATAAGCATTCAGATAACATCGGGTGCGGGGAAAGTAGTGTCCCTCAGTTTGCCTCTCAAAAAATCTCACAGATGGAGGAAATCTATAGTTTTTTGATTCCTAAATGTAGACGAGACTTTGTAGAATCGACCAAGACAAGTTGATTTAAAAAGATCCTTCTGTTTATTTGAATGAGTGATAACTGCGAACAGCATCACCGACGATGCGCCGCAGCGCTTGTGCGCAAGTTTGGACCGTAATATACCACCGAGAGGGGTATCATTTTCAAATTAAGGCAGTATGTGGAACATGTCCTCTCCAAACCTCTATACTTATTTCGGATAATGACTTGAACTTGGCTAAACAAGGAAAATCATATCTCAAGCGAATTCCAAAAATTCACGAAAAGAGGTTAACCACTCTGCTCTTGCTCAATGAATTGGATCAAAACTATGGTTCGAAATTTCAGATTTAAACAAAAAGTAGCAGGAATAATACAGAGAGCAGGACTTTATCTACGTCATAATTTTGAGTCAACAAACGGTCGCACTTAGTTTCTGCGCCGCGGTTTCTGACCGCACCTTGTCGCGCCGCAAACGCTATTTTGTTGGGGAATTTCCCAACTTTTCTCCTACTGCAACTGCGGTCTGGCTAATTCCAACATATTACGAAGACACTACAGCATTCCTTAAGCAATAGAAGAATTTTCAAATCCACGTTGGAAACAAAAGAATATTTCAAAAAACTTCACACTTTCTTCACATTTGTAAAAGGGAGTTGGAAAATTTGTTATGGGATGCGCTGCGAGAACGGATCCGCCGTCGGAAGAAAATGCAAAATTTTTGGGCCACTTTTTGTGAACTGCTAGAATACATTCACATCTTTGGATTTATGTTGAATTTACCAGAAAACCTGGAAACTACGCCGATTTCTTCGCTTTTAGTTTGAGAGACAGTACTTTTTCCGCACCCTGTATATATCAGAATATAAGATTTATGACGCTCACGATTTATCATAAGTTTTCAAAGATTTTAATGACTAAAAACAGGAAAAAAACTCGTTAGGTATATTTGGGAAGTTATTCTATACTTTCACATGATGAAATTCGAATTTTGGCACGAAATAACGCCCTTGCTTAGGAAACACTTGAAATTAGTGGTATGGGAAAACTCGAATTGTGTTGCATGGACGCGTGCGATATAACTGTGAGAAGGAAATTCGAGAAGAGAAGGGCAAATAATTGATTACTTGATGTTATCGATAAACAAATGACTATAAAATGGATAAAGAATAGATAGTGAGCTACTCTAGTTGATTGACTATAATATGATATAAAATTTTCGATCAATAGAACCGAACAGGATTGGCATTTCAAATCCGAATAAGTGAACTTCAACTCTATCTTATATCGTACTTGGATGCCCAAGTGATTATTCCATCTGGCCCAAAATAGCCCAGAAATATCATGAGCATGTTATTTCAACTAATTTTCAGCTCGCCTGTATTCCAAGAGCTTGCCACTCTTCACCCGGACGATCTCGTGTTGTCCTCAAATTAATTACTTCCGCTTCTCCGCTTTTTACATAGCTCTTCACAAGCTGAATTCACTGAATTTTACGATAAGCGTTCCGTTTGCGATTCTGCTTTTTACGAACCTTGTATAAGTAAGCATCACTGTCCTTAATGTAGAGATAAAAATGGTCCACCTTTTGTAGCTTGTAATGTTCGATGTTCTCAGCAAGCATCAGCCATTTGCTTTCATCTCCGTAAATTGGAGCAAGGCACAGGGAAAGAAAATATCTAGGCTCTAAGATATACCAGTAAAACTGTCTCACATTCAGAAAATAAACTGACAGACTGATTACATCCATTTCAAGAACCTTCACTATGTTCAGGGACAATGAGAGGATATTCGGATGAGATGACAACCCAGGACCCCATCCAAGTGACTAATTGGATTTCACATCTTGAAAAAATACACAAATTTAGTGACCGTTGCGCTATAACTCCATTGTTAATTTGAAGGCAGTGGCTCGACAAAACTGAACATCTCGGAGTTTTGATATGATGGGTTTTTACACTCCAAATATATTAGGTTGTCCGGAAAATAATGTCGCATGGCATTCTACCGCGACAGAATGACCACAAAAAACAGCGAATGGGGTATCATTTGATAGAGCAAAGTAAGCTCTACAAGATAGTTTACAACCTCCGCGGAAATCGTGCTCCACCTGAAGTTCGAATCCAAAATATAAAAAATTTCAAACACCCGAAAAATCGTATCTCCGTCCATAGACGTCTTATGGATCTCCAATTTGCACAGGCATGTACTCTCTACACTAGACATCCACCTGTATAGTTTGTGGTATTTTTCCATGGCTACAGCACGGGAAATAAAAGGAGGTTAGAAGTGCGAATATGTAGCGTTTTTTGGGTTTTTTGAAAACAATTTGATTTTTCTCGAAAACTAGTGCTTGTCCAAAGCTAAAAATTCATGGTTATACTCCTAAAGATTCATACTACAGAATCCCCATGTGAGAGAAGCTCAGGATTGTTTTGGCAGAAACATGCCGATTTTCGTTTTATCAATTTTCAGCCACGGGAAAAACGTGAAAATGTGCACACGAGTGTCTCGTATACTGAGTCCATGCGTGAGCAAGTTAGGGGTTCCCAGGACGTTTCCAAACGGAGATACGACTTTTTTCGTCTTTCTAGATCTTGAGTGCCTTATGAAATTCGCTCCAAACTTCACGCAAATCAAACCTGACGCAAAGCTTCGAGCTCCATTTTGTAGAGCTTGCTTTGATCTATCGGTTGATACGCCCCTCACTTACTTTCGTACGCACTCTGCTGCGATATTGCATGTTAGCAAGATGCGACATTATTTTCCGGACAACCTAATATAAACAGAGCAAATCCGAGCGCACATCATGCTGCACCCACCAAAAAAACGGCTCCCAAACCCGTGCGCGCAAGCCGTTCTTACAGGCGCTTGGACGAGCTCGTGATTCCTCTCCCACCGTAGAAGCCGACATGCCGCAATGTTATAACCAAAGGGATCTCGCAAAGACTGTGCGTCTCCACCCATGGTGGGAACTGCTCCATTCTCCAATTTGAAATGTAGGGTCTTGGGAAATGCTGGTTTTCCCATTTTTCGCTCCCTTTGAAGACATGGCTTCGTAAATCCTCGAATTCGGTGAATCCTCGACCTGAAGTTTTTTGCTTACCTGGGGTAGCTCGACGCGCTGATCCAGAAAATCCACCTTGAAGGGCGCGAAAATGGAGAGAACCAGCAATTCCCAAGCCCTTATTTTGAATCTAGACAAGCGGAACACTTTCCACCATGATTTAAGGCGTAGGGTCGTTGTGGGACACCCTCATGGTTATAAAATAGTGGCATGCCTCCGACAGTGGAATCGCAAGCTCATCCGAGTGCGTGCGAGACTGGCTTGCGCGTACTGGTTCAGGGGCAGTTTACTAGGCAGGAGCAGCACTGCGCTGTGCGACCTCCTCTGTTTTTATGTTTGAGGTACAAGCAACCTTCCAAATCAGAACTTCGAGATCTTCGGTTTTGCCGAGCCATGGCCTTTGAGGCGGATTTTTGAAATCAGCGCGTCGGATCAATCCAGGCAAGCAGAAAAAATTTGGGTCGAGGTTTTGCCAAATCGCTGCCTTTATCGTGCAATTGTGCCGTTTTATCTGTATTGCTTCTCTCATGTTATTCGTAAGCATCGTTAAAGGCAGTGTTCCGGCAAATCCGCATCTAGGGATTATAGCCGCGGTGGGGTTTCTGGTCACCTCATTACCTACAGGCCCCGTCCGGCTGGTTGATGTTCCCCCCACACCGAGAAAATGGCCCTGGCCGGCGCGCGCAACCCCAATCGGCACGCACTCGGACGACTTATCTTATCTGTGCGGCGCGAGACCCCACTACCACTCTTCGCATTGTGCATGCTATCCAAAGCAAAAATTACAGGCGGTAGGGTCTTCGTGCCAGGGCCTCCCAAATTTCCATTGAAATTCTCGTCCCAGCTGCTTTTTGAAAATTGAGTAAACGCCCCGAAAAAGGTTTTTCAACCGTTTCATAGATTAAATTCGGGTTCTACGGGTCGCAAAGGCCCAACATGCAAAAAGATGGAGATACAAAATTTGCCGGGACACTGCCTTTAAGGCCACCATTCAGTGACCTAATCTTATATATAAAGCTGAATGTCTGTTTGTCCGTATGTCTGTATGTCTGTATGTCTGTCTGTCTGTCTGTACGTATGTTCCGAATAGAAAATTCCATTTCTGAACCGATCCGGACCAAACTTGGCACACATACACTTCGGGTCCCGGCGGGTGTCATAGGCTACTTTTCGTCATCGATCGATATCGATTTTATCGATTCTTTTGCAAAATTTGAGCTACGGGGCTGGGAGTTGGCACGGGGGGGGGGGGGGGTAATCGAGCATGCTGATTACAAATATATTATTGGCAGGGCCCGGCGGAGCCGGGTAAGCCAACTAGTACGATATAAGCGTGCATAGCGCTTCGCTCCGCCTAATCAAGATCATTCTACAACTTCACCACATGCAGGGTGAGCTCTCTAAATGTACCTAATTATTATTTCATTGTGTTGTTATATTTCTATGGGCTCCATCCTTCCGCCTAAAAGTCACCACAGTTTGCATTCTGAGTCTTGAAACTTCAAAGACAATGACAACTCATTGGTTAACGCTTGCCTTCTTCAGAGCCTGAAATAAACAATAGGGATTGCAAACTGTTGCATCTAGTGAGCGACTGATTGTTGATTAGGTAAATCAAAATCTTGTAGAAGACCTCGATATCACAGTGCAAGTCAATAATCACATGCTGGGCAATTTACATGATACAAAATTGGGACGAGGCGGGAGCGGAGGATTAAATGCCGTATTTGTAGGTTGTCTGTTTTTGCAAATCTGTCACAGAGATTATCAAGTTTGACCTACTATGATGTCTTCTGTGGAGGAGAGGAACATAAGCATCAACACTGTCTTCCGGTTTCATTGAAAAGCTCATATATGTCGTATTCTCTCGGCTACAACAGTGGATAGCAAACGGCGGATAAACGACCGATCGTACGGAAGGCAATATTTCACTGTAGTGCTCATCGAGATAGCGACAATAAATCTGCTTCCTGTCAAATAAAGAGTTATATGTTATGCTAACCACTAAAATAGCCCGCAAAAATTTCGGAAAGCATACCAAAAAAGTGCGTGGCTGACGCCACGCACCTTCGTCGGAAAAAAATTTCTGTCCCCCCCCCCCCGAGCCGAAATCCTGGGTACGCCACTGCCGGGTACCTATGGGAACTTGCTGGGGAACAAACGATGCGTCTGTGTGTACGTATGCGCGGAATAGAAGTTCTTATTTCTAAACCGATTTGGACCAAACTTGGTACACATATATAGGGTGCGTCAAAAGTATTTGCGTCAACTTTGCATGAGTGCTGCAAAAAACTACTCAAAGTTTTGATTTCAAAATTTATGTGGTAGAATGCTGCAATCATCCTCTACAAAGCGTTTTGAGAGCCCAAGGTGACTGCCATACCTTCGTCCAAATAATGAAATTGTCGTACTAATACTTTTGGAAGGCCAACCTAATTTTTCGGTAGTTATAATTCATTTCGTAACTGGAGATTCTTGAGATATTTTCAAGGGATTTTATGTCCACAGTGTAGAGGAGGTTTTGCGCTATCGAAACGTAGTACTTGCGTTCGCCAACAATTATTCTTCCAAAAATGGCAACAAAATGTACGCAAATGCCACCCGCGTGTCAGTGGCCGTTTTGTGTTCAAATCACATTTGTAAGCTACAGAAATGTGCCTGTCACCGGATTCAATGCTACAGTGCTTTCACAAAGCTTCTAGATAAATATTCAGTTCTTTTCCACCGATGAAATTGAACTTCAACCTGATTTGGAGTCAATTTTTGCTTTTCTTTCGCTCATTAGCACCCCTAAAATGTGCAGTTTTTGAGCATGTAGCAAACACATGACTTTGTCCAAACGCCGATAATTTTCTTATCAGACGATATTGCGCTTAAAGTATTTGCAGCCGAAAACTTGCTCTATTCATGTGGTGTGTTCTTTGCATCACAGGAGCATTTATCTATGAAAAAGCAGAAGATTCTCTGAAAAAATACCTGCGTGTTGCGCGCAACTTAATCAGTGAGATGATTTGTGATTATTCTCAAGCCACAATTAGAAATTCCAATTCCTGCTATAGCCTCTTAATAATAAAACGTTTCTGAAACAAAATAGCTTTTTGCCTATCGCTGATCTCGTCTTGCACGAGTTTTGCGTTGCAGTATACAAGCGCAGATAATTCTGGCGCACCCTGTAATTCGGTTCGGGGAGCGTGTCATAGGTTATCGATCAACGTCGATTTTATCGATTTTTATCGATTTCTTGCATAGTATGGCCTACGAGGCTGGGAGTTGGCACAGGGGGAAAATGAGCATGCTAATTACGAATAAAATACTAGTTCCTAGAATTATCGATTACTTTTATCGACTTTATCGATTTTTTACAGAGTTCAAGCTACAGGGCTGGGAGTTGGGACAGGGGGGTAATTGAGCATGCTGAGTACGAATATATTAGGTTTTGGAAACATCCATTACTTTTATCGATTTTATTGATTTTTTTTGCAAAGTTTGAGCTACGGGACTGGGGGTTGGCCCAGGGGGTAATCGAGCATGCTGATTACGAATACAATATTAGTAGT